TAACAAGAAACTACTACTACTACTACTACTACTACCACTACTACTACCACTACCACGACTACTACCACGACTACAACAACAACAACAACAACAACAACAACAACAACAACAACAACAACCACAACCAACAACCAACAACCAACAACCAACAACCAACAACCAACAACCAACAACCAACAAACAACAAACAACAACCAACAAACAACAACAACAGCAACAACAACAACAACAACAACAACAACAACAACAACAACAACAACAACAACAACAAAAGCAGCAAGCACCACCGCAACAACAACAACAACAACACAGCCACAACCACAACAACCACAAAGACTGGAAGGACAACCACATCAACTTATCAACCGCAAGCACAACCGAAGGCTGGAGCGCGCAAGGTTTTCAGCATGCTAGCGCCGGCAATCAACTGCCACGGCAGCTTCATCGCTACTGCTAATAGTAAAGTGCAATCCGAGACCTGTCTGTTTACGTAGCACACAGACACAGACTTTTCCCAAGCCTCTGCGTCAGACGGAGCCCGCAACGGCGGCGCCGACTGGTGGCACCTCCATGCAGGCTGATCGGGCTGCAACCCAAAAGAACCTACATCGTGCTCATATAAGATATCATAAGGGAATGATATTTCAGGGTTAAGGGGTTGGGGTTTGGGTGTAGTAGGGTTTAGGGTTTAGGGTTTTGGGTTAGGGTTTTGGGTATAGCGTTTTGGGTTTTGGGTTTAGGGTTTTGGGTTTAGGGTTTAAAGCTTCAGGGTTTAGGGTTAACGGTTTAGGTTTTGGGGTTTAGGGGTTAGGGTTCAAGGGTCTGGGGTTTTGGGTACTATGGGAAAGAAACTGGCCTTGAATCATGCACTTCCTGGCAGGCAGTCGTGTCCGAGGTGGAGATCCCCGATACGACAGGCGATGAGGAGTGAGGGGGCCTTTTCTCCAGACCTCAGTAGACGATGGACGCACTTCCAGCTCCATCGCAGATCTGATTTTGATGCCAGATCCCATTCTTAAAGGTAAGAATCCCGTGTACCCGTGCTGCCCGGAAGCTAGGCCCATGAAGTCGTAGCCGCAAGTCCTAGGCCGCAGCATCATGGTTAAGGTTCGATCATGCAGGGGCCAGGTTTTGGGCACAGCCAGAGATCGGGCTTTCACGCAAGCCTTCACTTTGAGAGACCGCCGTGCAGTGCTAGCTCTGTGTTCTGCTCGGTTCGCAGCAAGAAAAAAACAATGGATCGCAGCGTCCGTTGACACACCTTGCAAACATACAGAGTGAGCGCCCGGCAGAAAATCCAAAGCTCACGCCAAGCAACCCCCTCTTCCCGCCCAGGCTCTCACAAAGCAAAGCGACAGTCCGGCCGCGCAGAAGTTCACCGGCAAACGAGCTGAGATGCAGCAGCCTCGGCACGTGCTGCGACTCCCCGAACCGGAAGCTTTAAGAGATCCTAAACCCCCTAGCGGTAAAGCCTAAACTTTAAAACCCTTGAGTTACACGGTCCTGGGAAATTGCCTGCTCCATTTTAAGCCTTCGGGGTCTATAGGCTGGGGATAATGCGGATAGGCAGTGGAACAGTCCGAGTGAAGCCTAGTGCCAAGTCTTGGCAGGCTTAGGACAATGGAACATGTGTAGACTCAACCAACCAAATTTAGTCGCAGGATCCTTCAACATTCATAGATTCATCGAGCAGGGCTTTGTAATAGAAGTGGTGCTCGTGTCTCATAGAGACTCAACAATCACAGTCGGTGTTGCATGCTGTGACGTTCTCGCAGTTTGTCGTTGTGAAGCTTGACGCAAACCCAATTCTCTAAGTACCGCAACACTCAGTGCATCAGAGTCGGCTCCTATATCTAGAAGCAGCAGTCATCTAAAAAGTTTACCACATATCCCCCTGAAGCCCCCAAACCCTAAACCCCTAAACCCCTCAAACCCCTTACGCCCCTAAACCCTTAAACCCCCTAATGCAGCCGCGACAGGTTGGACGACCAGGAAGGAACCGTTGTTCGCAAGACGAAAGCGAACATGCAGCACGTGCAGGCTCCTGACCGCTGGGCTTGTGCTGCTTTTCTGTCTTCTGCAACGTAACGTGTTACTTCGTAGCTCAGACAAATGGCTCAGGTAGCTGTGTGTTAAGCAGCAGCTAACTGTGGCAGCAAGCAGGATTACTGGAATTGTACCGAGCTCCAGCCAAACAAGATGCAAACCCTGCTCGACAGACAGCCTCCACGTAGGTCATCGTGAAGGCCGTGAACACCACCCTGCGAAGCAGCACAGGCAAGGGTCTTGAGTTCTTCTTGCCAGAACAACCCTTGGTGTACTCCGCAGCGACTATGCCTTTGCAACCGCCTGCTGCGAAAGATCGACCACTTCTCAAGGCGGTGACTCATCTGCAGTTGCCAAGCAAGAGAACTCAATTCAGACCCAGCAACTCGAGCCTGTTGCCGCTGCCCATAGTCAGGTAGCGGATCAAGAAAAGGTCGGGGTCAAGGCCTTCAAGATTCTACCGGCCAAGATCCGAACACTATTCGAAGGTGACCCCTTGCACTCCTCTTGGAATGATGTTCGCGGCTTGCTTGCGTCTAATGTCATTATGTGATTTCTGCGTGGCTGCCTGCTAGTTTAAGTACCGGCGCCCCCCCCCACTCCCCCAGCTTAGGCAACGCTTTGACACGAGCAGGCTTATCAATTAAAGTTCTGAAAGCGACGATTTTGTCCGCCACAAGTCACGGCCCGCAGCTCGCTTGTGTTACTTGTAGACTTTTGTGCGAGGACCGTACTTCAGTTCAAGCTCTGCGCACAACCAGCATGATGCATGATGCTACTGCCGAGGTTCCAGGGCGGGGGTACATGGTTGAGCAAACGCGAGCTTGTGGAACAGTTCACGGAGAGGTTCCGGCACGACAGAGACAAGTGGATCGATTTGTCTGAAGGCATGAAGCTGGACCTTGGGAAGGAAGTGAACACCGGTGAAGTTCCTACCCATCTGGACGAATGGGCTCGGCACACATCCGTGAAAAATCGAGGTGTTTACGCTGCTTGGATGCATTGCCCGGCCTTTTCTTAACATCCGTGCGCCCAAGCAACCGTTTCTTGTTTAACAGTTTGCGAAGCACGTGTTCACGCAGTGCATGAAGACAGATGTCTTGCCACCGTGCGACAGCCGAGATTCGAAACAAAGGGTGGTTTGCCCTAACGGAGAGGTGCAAGTCTTTGGTGGAGGAATGGACCATTTCGGCGGAACTGTTGTCTTGCCTGGCAGCAGCTACCAGCCGGCATTTTACTTTGAAACTTTGTTTTGCGCCAAATCGTCGGTGGAGCCCGTGTCTGTCTGCAAGGACCAAGTGGACGAGTCGTGGGACGCTGATGCGGAGCTGCCTCCTGCTCAGGCAGAGGACGGCGAGGACGATGACGACGAGGGCGAGCCCACCAACCGGCAGGACTTCCAGAAATGGAGAGCCAAGTTTCGGAACAATGTGGAACTGGCAGCCGAACTGTATCAAGACAGGCCCCACGTTTTTGTGTTGAGCACTACTCATTTCCGAAAGTTTGGCATGTGTGCTTGCACATGCATGTCTGCGAGGTCGCTGCAGCAGAGTCTCCGCATGATCTACGTGACCACCCAACCAGCAGCCCAGGAGTATTATGACGCCATCCAGATTCAGAAACAGGGCCAGGCGACTTGTTTGCAACATTTCCTGGACGCATAACAGGTGCAGTGCTTGTGTGAGAAAGAACCCTAGAGGTGTCTCAGTTGAAGTGGACTGCAGCAAGATGCTCGGGTTCCTGGTACAAGACAGTCTTGCGAACACTTGGTATGCTACATGATGCTGCCGCGCTTGGCAGAATGGGGCTTTCCGTGTGGCACCCTCCAGCCCCTGCAAGTGGCGAGGAGAGCTGGGTTCAGGAGGAAACTGCATTCCTGGAAACAACCTGGAAAGTCCTTCTGGAAATCAGCAGTGCCAGGATGGGATCTTGTTTGGTCGCGAGTTAGGAGAGTGAGCGCTAACTTTTTTTAATACGTGTTGGGCAAACTCGTGTGCATCAGGTGCTGGTCCCAGGCCATGTACAGCACCTGCATGCCCTTCGCACTGTCTGCTGTCTTCGGGCCCAGCGACACACACGGGCCTGCTATGGATTTCATAAGGAAACTGGATGCTGGCCTTGCAGATGCCCATCGCCTGTTGGCCACGGAGCCTGGCAGTGTGGCGGCAACGGCCGTGACTGCCCTCTTGAAGGACCTTTGGTGGCACCGAACACAACTAGCGCTGGAAGGTATCCAGACCTGTCGAAATTCGGGGTTTTCTGCACGCTGCGCGGAACTGAGAAGCTTTGTGTTCTGCTGCTTTGGCGGCCCAGCGAATACGAAACACACCTGTGAAGATGTGTTTTCACATCTTCACAACGTGGTGCAACGGAGCCAGAAAGGTGCAGAGGTCATGTCCAAGCAACTCGGTTGCGATCAGACTTTTTACGCACGTTTGAAATCGATTTGGTGTCGTGGGCCGGGTTCACTGCAGGTGGAGCAAATTCTTCTATGCCTCGACATGCAGCTCCGCATTGAAGAACGGCTACAAGCACATTGGCTGCGAAACGGCAGACTACCGCAAGATTGGTCTGGAGAAGTCGGAGCGGTACGGATTGTACTTTTCTGCAACACGGCAACCTGACCAACGCTTGGAGCTCGGGTCGCTGGAAGAGGTGAAGCAAAAGTGGGGCACGGCCGGCACGCTGGCTGACATGCGGATGTGCGCAGCAACGGTGACGTTGCATAGGTGCGCTGAGCAGGGCAGCTTCGACGCAGTCGCGGACTACTGGACAGGCACACTGTCATGAACGAGAAAAGGCTTAGACTTCAAACCTAAACCCTAAACCCTAAAACCCTAAACCCTAAACCCTAAACCCTAAACCCTAAACCCTAAAACCCTAAACCCTAAACCCTGAACCCTAAATTCTTTCTGATGTGATCCTAAGCCCTAGGCCATGTGCTTTGACGCACGCAGGTGTCTTCCTGTCGAAAGGCTTGGTCATCTTGAACAACACCGAAGACAGGGCTTACCTGTCGTTAGGATTTCGCGGATGGGCTGCGCAAGCCATCCCGCTCCAGATCGTGGGGAAGACAGACGGTGGTGAGTTGATGTTTGTGGTGTCGGCAGATATTGTTCAAGGACGGATGCAGCCGCAGTGGCTGTGGAACACCACGGCAGCGGCGGCAGCGACGACAGACACGGCGACAGACACACAATGGAAAGCATGTCAGGTGCATGTCATGCACCCGGCGTGCCTACCTGTGCAGCACCGCCGTCATGTGTGTGCCCTGCGCCAATGCAGCCCCGTCGAGGGGTTGGTCAAGGCTTGTTTGCGTGCTGCAAGCTGCGTGCTGAACCAGGATGTCATAGTGAAGCTGTGCAAAGCCAACAAGGCACCGAAACCGGTTCCCACAGGGAAACTCAACAAGAAAGGAAAGCGAGGCATGAGGAAGGGGGACCATGTGCGAGCTCTTCTTGCCGTGGTCTTCCCTGAGATGGACACAGAGTCCGACGACTACACCCGGATATTCGAAGGTTTGGTTGGTGGGATATCCCCCACTGTGCCAGAAGATTGCTCAGAGGACATCCTCAGCGGTATCAAAGCTCTCGATCCAGACAACCAAGAGAAATTTGCCGGTCTGCGCAGCATGGCCGAAAAAGTGGAGGTGGAGAAGCAGGTGAGAAAGAGAATGCGTCAGGCTCGGGCGGGCCAGGAACGGTCCGATGACAAGGACGGCAAGGACCCCGCAAGCAGCTCAGGCGCTCGGCCGCAGGCGGAGCGCGAAGATGCTGGAGACACACGTCGAGGTTCGGGGCTGTTTCTATCCACCTCTGTCTAGGCTACTGATGATTTCCAATTTCTGAAAGCCCTCCATCCTGACAGTGAACACATTGACAGACTCCACAACCAAGCCTGAACCCCGACATGTCAAGCTGCCAGGTCCAAGCAAGCAGCCCAATCAGCCGAAGGCCCACTTCACGCCGAGCACTTTGCGCCTCTTATGTCTAAGGGCTGGGGTTGACGTCTTGGGGTTTAGTATTATCTTTGGGTTGCAAAGTTTTTTAGGGTCTTCAGGTTTTGTAAGCGTCTTTGGAGTTGATAGGGTTGTGAGGGTACAGGAGCGGCAGGGTTAAGAGTCTTAGTGGCTTCAAAAGTTTGTGAGTGAGTGACTGTGTGTGTGTGTGTGTGTGGGTCTGTGTGGTGTGTGTGTGTGTGTGTGGATGGGCGTGTGCGTACGTGTGTGTGGGTGTGGGTGTGTGTGTGTGTGTGTGTGTGGGTGAGTGTATGTGGCCGTGGCCCTGTGTTCCCGAACCTTAAGTAACTTTTAACTTTCAAAGCTGTGCCTTAGGACCCTAACTCCTTCTGATCCGAGGAAGGAGCTGCTGCCTGGGAGGGGCAGCATCCCGCAGGTCTACATTCAACGGAATCCGATCTCAAAGACGTACCAAGCATTCTACCCAGGTCGCTTGCCTAATCCTGCACTGTCGAGTCCTGTGAGCAGTTTAAACCAGTCACTTGTTACTTGCTGCACGGGCTTCGTTTGTGCAAAGTCTGATACGCAGCTAAGTCGACAAATCAGCTGGCTTGGGTGCCGGCAGCAGGTGTTGCACTTGGGACGGCGTGCAACGCCGACTTTCCGAAGAGCAAGCACTATATGAGGTATTGCAGAATGCAGAAGGTTTGGAGTCTCCATTTCAAATATGCGAAGCATGTCCGGGAAGGTGACATAACGTCGCTTGGCCGTGTTATTATTGTCGTTATTGTTGCATGGAACACCGAGGCTACCGGAACTCACCCTGTAATCCCCCTAGGCCAACTTCTGACCAAGTTCGAGCAGCTGTGCGTGAGCTGCGTGCAGCACAGGAGCCAGCGCAGACCCGTGCAGCGCCCAAGGCGTCCGCGGCCAGCGCGAATCCGAATCGCGAGTTGCGCATCGCACGGCCAAAGCCAGGTGTGATGGAGCCAGCCAGCAAACGACGCAAGAAGGGTGGCTAGTTACTTAGAGTTAAAGGGATCCCGTGCGGGACATGAGTAGTACCCCCTGAGACTTTCACAGGGGCATGAACTGAAACTCCCGAAGTGAACATCCCCTCTTGAAGACAGTTTGCGTGTCACGAATGTGCTTCAGTTCTGCGGCATACCGCACAGCAAAGCCGCCACTGGACGACCAGACAAAAAAAGCCGTTCGGCGCGACCCACAGTCTCAGTGTGACTTCTCGGTGTTTTTTGTTCTTTGTTTTAGGGATTTCTCAGGGTCGTTTTGCTCTTTCGGTGAGGGGCGGTTGCTTTCGTGTTGAGGGTCTCGTACTTCAGGAGGTCTTGAAAGGTTAAGGTTTTTCAGGGCTTAGGGCCAGGTCTAAGCCACAGCTGCGGGCCCCCCAGACTCCCAAATGCTTTGATGTATAAGCCTAGGATAGCAACAGGATAGAGCAAACCTTCCTTATCCTATTTTGATGATAAGCAAAGGATAAGCCCAACCCCCCCTCCCCCAAGACCCCCTCCGCCCACCCCATGAACAAATTTAACCCTTAAAACGTAAATCCCCAAACTCCACAAGCCCAGGTTCTCTACAGCGGCAGACATCCAATTGTTGGACCAGACTCCCAGCCCCCCCCGAAGAACATGACAAAAAAGGCCGGGCAGCTGATCGATGGAGGTTGCTTCGGCTAAATGCAGATCCATAGCTGGAATTCTCAGATAATATGATCATAACTGTCGTTAATCTGGCTAAGCCTTTTTG